GCCCATTTTCTTTATTTTGTATGGTAAAGAGATTTCGGATTAACGCTTTCCCTATTATTGTAAAAGAATATGTTGTGCCCGATCTCTAATTTATATGCAGATAGATTAGCAATTTTGACACGTTGAGTCTCCTATTTAGATCTGACAGTATTAGTTACATGTGATTGCAGTTACAGGTTGATGGAGGTTTCATTCAGAATCCAAATTCACAGGCCTTGTCGACTCCAAATCTTAGCGCATTGGATTTTCCTGCACTTTCAGGAGCAGATGGTCAAAATGGCTTGCCAAAGTTTGCCGGTGATGATCTCCAGCAAAATAGTAGTCCTTATCAGTCTCTAGAGAAGGAAAGCGCTCTCTTATTCAGATCAAGTTCATCTATTGCCTCTAGAGACGCTATAGATTTTGCTTCTGCCGTCAGGAAAATGCTGCCTCAAGAATCTAGCATTTGGAAATATAGCACAAATGGTTCTTCAATAGCCAGCATAGGATCAAGTAGAAGTTCACAAGTGCCCATTAGCTCTTACAACAGTGGACAGGGAAGAAGCATTTATGGCGATAGGTTGCAAAATCGGGGATCAGCTCGTCTGGCACCTACCTGGCTTGAAACTGGAGAAGCTGTTGGTAATATTTTTGATGCAATAGATTTCACTTGTTCTGCAAGACTTTAATTGCAGAACAAATGCTTTTTGCATTTATATATGCTTTAACTTTGTTGAGATGGCAGCAAATATGTATTCTGAATTGCGGGAGGAAGCTCGTGATCATGCACGCTTACGTAATGCATGCTTTGAACAGGTATGCCGTTTGAGTAGACACAAAAAATTGGGAAAATGAAAAGAATGAGAAAAGAAGAATGATATCTTCCTTAATTTGCATTCTGGTTTGCTTTTATGAAGGCGTTGTACTTGGTGGTCTTTTACTCTTTTTCGTGGTGGGGACCACAATGTACAGTGTGCCACTTTGAGGGTAATGTACTTTGATGAAACATAATGTCTGATTATGAGCTTTTTTGTTTACACTTAAAGTTTGCTTAGTAAGTAAATGAGTAGAGTGTTAAAGGCAAATAGTTTCATTTATTGGTCAAAGTTGATTATGAGTTGCTTAAGTTGACACTGAGGAAATAGTTACTTCCATCATAACTAATTCCTTTTTTTTTTTTTTTTTTTTTTTTAATGGATGATCCGATCTACAAGGACCATGATTGGGATTGTTTAATTGTCTTTTCGTTCTGTGGCGGATCTTTTACAAGATCAATTCGGATTGGCTCTAGTTCGTTTAGAAAATCTGCTTCAAGGAGGTTTCTAGTTTTGAGTTGTTTGGGCTCTGTTTATATCAAATATTTCAGATGCATTTATTGTATCGTTTATCAGGAGTCCTTTCAATCGGGGCTAAGATGATTGTAAAGAGCCCCATTTCAAAGGGGGATCACTTTTTTTGGCTTATCTACGGCAATGGGTAAGATTGTGTCGGGTTCTGCTGCCATCTGGCCCTAATAAATCCTCGACCTTTCGAAAAAAATAATGCTACTTGTAATCGCTTACTATTGCAATCGTTTTACGTTGTATACATATGACTGTTAGTTATTTGTTGCATAAAGTTCTAAAAAACTAACACATTAATGTATCAAATCACTAAACATCACATGAATACTACATAGGGTGACTGTAGTAATGAACTACAATAAATAGCATTACTCTTTCGAAAATGGATGAGATATGCTCCCAATCAATTTTATTGACGCCGCTCATTTCCAACCTTTTGGATAAATAATCATAATTGAATGTATGTTACATGTTATTTTAAAATGCTTTATAAGTGCTATAGAATTTATAAGTGCTATAGAATTTATATTTAAAGATGTTTGAATGTAAAAAATAGTTAATACAAATGGTTTATAGAAAAAAAAAAAATAGTTAATACAAATGGTTTATGGAATGAACTTTTATTCGGGCGGAAATTACATCCATTCATAATTTTTAAGTTTCCAATTCAAAATAAGATTTAAAGATTTTTTATTCAAAAATCAAATGATACATTATTATTTAAATTTAATAATATTATTATAAAATTGAATTTACTTACACACCCATTCTCACTACACCTCTATCTATACCTACACAATTTCACGACTTTCACCTCCAAACCTTAATGCATTTCACCACCTCTCTCTTTCTCTACCACCCATCCTTTCCATTTCAGTAGTGCTGCACGATCGGCACTACTCGTGTTCCAGCGTGATCACTACACGACTCGATGCAACAACAGCAATAGCACCATCGTGCACGATCACTGAGCATGACGTCGTGATGATCGTATACATAACCACAACTGCACACGGTTGCCGTATGCGTAACTGAAGGTTGTGGTGTGGTGTGGTGTGGTGTGGTAGAGGGGAAAAAGATGATGGATTCAAAGTGGTGATGGCGGCGATGGTTTTATTTATTTATTTATTTTTTTTTTTTTTTTGACGGGGAACCACGAAGCCGCTATCCTTCGGGTGTATACTGAGTAAACTCTTGGGCTGACGTAATAGCCTGCAAATCACACCAATAAGGTATACCGTACTAGGCAAGTTCGGTGCGACAGACTCGACAAAAAAAGTGTTGGTAGGAGGAATCGAACTCTTGATCAAATATTTTCGCGATCACCTACTTCACCAAGTCGACTACCTATTAGGGGCTGGGTTTTGGGTTTTTTTTTTTTTCATGGTGTGTGGACTTTGACTCAACTTGAAGTAGTTAGAAAAACTTGGTATTAAATCACTGTAGTGCTGTCTTTATTTAGTTTTGCCAGGTGTAATATAGAGCTGTAAATGTGGAGGCAAATAAATGGGTTAGTTTCAGATCATGACCAAGATTTAAAGAAGTGGAGCAACACGCAAAGTGCAAGAAAAAGAAGAAACAAGAGAGAATGAAGTTAAGGAAAATTCATGCAAATAGAATTGTAACCTTGTAAACTGCAATTTTTTGGCTCCAAGTTGTAATCGATCTCCTTTATACTCTGTTTTTCTGATTTATAGTGAAACGCATCACCAAGATTGGATACAGGAATACAAATTGTGATCTGAACCAAGATAAATTTCATGTCTTCTTTTTCCTTGCTGTTTATTGATTTATTTCCAGTCATCTCTAAAAGAATTGTTGTATTCCATATCCATTTAATCTTGTCTGTTCCCCAAGCACTACACATATTCACCACAAATTGATATCAAAGCCTCGGCCTTTGCTGGATTTGGGTTCTCTCTTAAAGTTCTTGATATTCACCTAGAGTTCATCAACTATTTGAAAGAAGTCTTGTGATGGCTAACGCTTCTACTAAACATGAGATAGAAAATTTTGATGGGACGAATGATTTTGGGCTGTGGAAGATAAAGATGCTTGCGCATCTTGGGAATCTTGGTCTGGACGAAACACTGGAAGGGGAGGCAAAAATGTCTGCAACCTACAACGAGAAAAAGAAGGATATCATGAAGCTATGGCTTAAACTTGAGAGTCTTTACATGACGAAAATCTGCCCAATCGTTTATATCTCAAGGCAAGATTCTTTACATTTAAAATGCTTGATGGTAAAATCTTGCAAGAGCATGTAGATGAGTTTAACAAGCTCTGTTTAGATTTAGAAAACGTTCAGGTGGAGTATGATGATGAGGATAAGGCTCCTGTACTATTACATTCACTACCAAAGTCCTATGAAACCTTTGTATATATCCTAAAACATGGTAGAGAAACAATTTCTCTAGAAGATGTAGGTGCTCTGAATTCCAAAGAACTACAGAGAAAGAGTAAGAGTTTTGAACAGTAAAGAGATAGTTTAACAGTGCGCGGTAGAGCTGAAAAGAGAGACAAGAAGGTGAAAATAAACAATAGATCAAAGTCTAAGAATAGAAAGAAGATCAGACGTTATCCCTGTCATGAAGAAAGTCACTTTAGAATATTTTTTCCTAGAAGAAAGAAAGGAGAAAAGAAGATAGAAATAGAGGATGATGCAACTCTAGTTAAGCAGAGCTATGAATGCTCAGACGTACTAGTTGTTACAACCAAGAGCTCTGACAAAAAGTGGGTTATGGATTCAGGATGCTCATTCCATATTACTCCTAATCAAGGCTGGTTTAAGACATACAAAAAGATGGATTGTAGACAAATTCTACTGGGTAATAACAAAGCTTGTAAAGTAAATGAAATTGGTACAATGAGATTAAAGACTGGTGATGGAATAGAAAGAATTCTCAATGATGTTAGATATGTTCTTGAAAAGAACTCTTATTTCACTGGGAATGCTTGACCAAAATGGCTATTGCTATAAGGGTGAGAATGGTGAGCTCAAGGTGTTTAGAGGATCTCTAGTTGTAATGAAAGGTGTGAGAGAAAACGGTCTGTATACTCTTCAAGGAAACATAATTACTGTTGTTGCTGCTACAGTAATCGAGGTTGATAGCTCTAGAAATTAGTTATGGCATAGGAGACTTGGTCATGTAAGCAATAGAGGATTGCACGAGTTTCAAAAATAGGGTTTATTTTGTATTAACAAGTTGGGAAAGCTAGAGTTTGTGAAAATTACATCTATGGAAAGGTACAAGGATGAAATTCACTAGGTCAGTGAAAGGATACTCTGAGTTATGTGCACTCTGACCTATGGGGTCCAGCACAACATGAGATTATATGTGGGGCAGGTATTTTATCTCATTCATCGACAATTGTTCTAGGAAAGTTTGGGTGTACATCTTGAAATCCAAGGGTGAAGTTTTATAGAAGTTCAAAGCTTGGAAGAAGATGGTGGAAGTTCAAACAGGGAAGAAAGTCGAGAAACTGAGAACGGATAATGGTTTGGAATTTTTAAGTGAAGAATTCAATCAGTTTTGTAGGGATGAAGGAATGGTTAGACACAGAACAGTGACCCATATGCTACAGCAAAACGATCTAGCAGAGAGGATGAATAGGACTCCGTTGGAGAGTATTAGCTGCATGTTGCTTAATGCTAATATGCTAAAGAAGTTTTGGGATAAAGCTGTGAATACCGCTGCTTGTCTTATTAATAGATGTCCTTTAGTAGCAATTAACCTCAAGACTCCAAAAGAAATCTGGACAGGAACTTCTCCAATTTATGATGAGAACCTGAAGGTTTTCGAACGTGTCACCTACATATATCACAAACAGGAAAAACTTGATTTCAGGGCAAAGAAATGCATGTTTATAGGTTATCCTGGTGGAGAGAAGAGATTCAAGCTCTGGTGTAAAGAGGGTAACTCCTCTAAGTGTTTCATTAGTAGAGATGTCATCTTCAGGGAGCAGGAATATTATTTGGTTGGTGAAAGTCTATCTATGGCATCGACTGACAATCATGAGAGGAACAATGCTAAGATTGAGATGGAGCAAGTTGAGTCTGGAGATACTCAAACTGAAGCAAGTGGTAGTGCTAATGAATATGATCAACATGAATAGGATGATCTGAAAAATGAACATCAAAATGATTTGAGGTCATATCAGTTGAGCAGAGACAAAACTAGAAGACATTGCAACGATCCAGTGAGGTATGGCTATGAAAATTTGATATCTTATGCACTATTTATAGTTTACGAAATGGATGATACAGAACCCAATAGCTATAGAGAAGCCGTCGGGTGTAAAGATAGTAGAAATTTGCTGTAGGCCATAAGAGAAGAGATGGATTCTCTAGAAAAGAACAATACACGGATGCTTGTTGAAAATCCTAGTAATCAAATAGTGGGTGGCTCTAAATGGATCTTCAAGATGAAAGAAAGTATGCTGGAAAGTAGCAAGCCTAGATTCAAAGCGAGACTTGTAGCTAAGGGGTTTACGCAAAGAGAAGGTATATATTTCAATAAAATCTATTCACCTGTAGTGAAACATTCATCCATTAGAGTGCTTCTAGCATTAATAGCTCAGTGTGATATGAAGTTAGAACAAATAGATGTGAAGACTGCGTTTCTTCATGGCAACCTTGGAGAAAGGATTTTGATGGAGCGACCAGAGAGATTCGTTCAGAAAAGAGATGAAGATAAAGCCTATTTGTTGAAAAAGTCTCTATATGGGCTAAAACAATCACCAAGGCAATAGTATTTGAGGTTTGAAGAATACAAGATGAGAAACAACTATTCCAGGAGTAGCTATGACAGTTGTATAGATGAAAAATTAGGTATTTTTCTATTGTTGTCGGTTGATGACATGCTGATTGCATCAA